TCTCTTTCTCTGCAGCGTTTGGAATCTCTGATAGTTGTGGCATAGGTGGATTCACTTATTAATAAATCTGGGCGACACTTATCAATCCAGGCAGCACTAAAACAAAAGGAATTTTAAAAAAGCCAATCAACCTAAGGGATGGTATCTGGCATTTCTGATCTGCAGGTCTCAAAGATGGGTGGAGAATGTCACTGTCTCCATTTGCAGATAGGAAAACAGGTACACAGATGTGTATCGACTTGCCCAAAGTCACCCAGGAGTCCTGTGGCAGCATCAGGACTCCTCTCTTGGCAGGCCATGCTTTCTTTAAATTAATCCAGCTCGGAACAGAGACTACAGATTTTGAAAAGCAATTCTTCTCCAGTCTATTACTTGTTTTAAATGCATTAAAATGTTATTCTAAATAGCATGGATATTATAAATCTCTCATATATGCCAGTACAAATAAAATTAACGTTAAAGTTTGTGATTGGCTCTCTCTTAGAAAGTAAATACATTTAAAGATACCACAACAATAAAATATTTCAATCATGGAAGTCCAATTATTACGCAGCCTTAAAAATAGACTAATATACAAAAGATTACATTAAGGTCTGTCTGGAAGAAATCAATGTAAATCTGTTCATTCTCATAATTCAAAATTGCATTTATCTTTCCAGCAAAGACATCGTTAAATGTTCCATCCTCCTAACAAGGAATCAATGCTGATAAGCCCCTAGCATTAACAGAAGCTGTGCTAAAATCTTCCTGTCAGAAATACATACAACTCATAGAAACTCGGCTTCCTACTTACCCTAAATGTCTGTCTGGTGTCATGTTATAATCACCCTAACGGAAGAAGAGAAATCCATTAATATTCTCGAGGTAACGGGACAGGCTATTAGAAGGAGATGTAGGCATCTATAGATATTGTTGTGCATACTTACAGTGTACACAACTGACTCGCATCCAACCTTAATCTGGAACATGGCTGCTCCTAGCACATGGCCTGCATAGTATGCCTTGATCTCCAGCTCCTCATCCACCTGCATGAACAGGCAAACACTGCAGTAGTGCAAACATTTGAAAAAAAATAATAATAATTGCTCTGCCTTCTGCAGCAATCCAGTTGGTCTGATCCAAGAGCATGCAGGAATGATCATTTACCTGAACTGTCTGGTGAAGATGCACAGCAACCACTTTTTTCATACAGTCTTTAATCATTTGGGAAGTGAAGAAGTTAGTTTCCCCTTTCTTATCTACAGTTATTTTCCTATAGTCCTCCAGGAGGATGGGACAGATGGCCTTGGTAGGATGTGTCATGTAAATGGGCCCATCGTAACCGACCATTTCACTGAAATACGGTAAAGCTCCACAATGGTCCAAATGAAAGTGGCTGCAGAAAGACACAAATGATAAAGGAGATGCTGCACAGGAATCTAGCTTGCCTGGTTCTCAGATCTTGCTTCAGATTTTTAAAGCACTGCGTGACATAGAGGAACTAGCCAAAATATGAATGATGGACTTACAACGTGTTTGGGTTGCTAGGGACAGTATACAAAGCTTTCCTGTTTCCCATTTGACCTGTGACAAGGAAGGACGCTTTCTCACCTGATGATCACACAGTCTAGAAAGTCAGTCAGCCTTCCGTTCTGAGTGATGTAAGAAAAGTCAGGAAAGCGTCTCTGCAAAGGCATGAAAAAAAGAGGCTATCCATTACGAAAGCAAGCCAGTTAATATTACATTACCAATCCAACAAAACAACGGTGTGAACGACCTGAAACACTGGAAACGTGCTGTAATCCACCTCGAGGCAAAACTGCGGTAAGGCACCAGACCACACTAGTGTCAGCAATAGGGTAAGAGCTGCAGGCAACACCTGCATTTATAGGCAGAGTCAAAGAGAAAAAGGACAGGAGGGCTGCCAGAGGAGAAACAGGGAAACTGATCTTGCAAATAAATAAAATTACAGCCAAGTTTATCTTCAAAGTAAAACAGCTGACCAATGCGTTTTAGCTTACCCACAGGCATTAAGGCAGAAAGCCTCAAAACCTTTTCTGTAATGGCACATTTGCTCTGTATCACGCTTTAACTCTTTCTATCTTAGAGAGTATTTTGGCATTATTCTTTTCCTACTAGTATCAGGTCACCAAACATCAGGAGTATTTCCTAGCTCGCTCTCTAAAGCATCAGAGACGCATGGTGCAGATCTCACAAGTAATTAACTGCCCAAAACCAAGCATCATGTCAAGAGCAGTCTAGCCAATGATGGGATTAATGCTTTAAAGCATAAAAGACACCTGCCCATGTGAAGAACAGAAAGACCAAAACCACCAGGAACAAAGCATTCACAGCTTGCTTAATATTTTTTTTGAGTCCACAACCCAGGGAAAGGATGGCTGGACGGTGGCACTTCACATAGCAGGAATACTCGAGGAGACGCACCTCTTGCACAGGAAGGCAAGATTTTGAAGGGGCAATAGTAGTTTGTTTTCTGCCATGCTCCAGCTCCAGCAGTAGCTGATACCTGTGCCAAATAACGCACGCCCAGCTCATATTACCCATACGTCATGTAAGACGAGTCAGGCAACGTTCAAATAAAAGGGAACGGAGCGGAACAATGAACCAGGAGCCCTGCTGGGAAACGCCAGGCAGATGCACCTTGAAGGCATCTCTACGCAACATTGAGGCTTCTCCACTGTACTCACATCATCGTTGTAGCCCATGTGCATCCCACAGTCAAGCATTACGTTTTTCCCAGCAATAGACACAAGGATACAGCTGCGCCCCACATCCTGGCCAGCTCCTGGACCCAAGCAAGAGAAAGACAAGTAAGACGTCTCTGGGAATATTTACAATCACTTCAAAAGAAAGGCATTTAAAGGTCCGTACAAACTTCCCAGCCCTTCTCTGATGCAGGAAAAGACTACATCCTTTCCTCCAAGCAAGCAGATCTGTTAGAGGGTAAGCAAATGTGAACTGACTTACCCCATTCCCTGAGCTCATGCGAAGACCTTCCAGCTGCAGCTGCAAAACTGCAGTAAATACAGCACTGCGTCCAAACCCTTTTTTTTCCTTTGTTCTCTGCTCGCTGCTGTGCAATCGCAGCTACACAGTTTCAAGTAAGAGCAAAATAATCTCTTATCTGGAAAGCATTAGCATGGAACTCAAAGTTCCCAGGGCTCTGCACCTCCCCAAGTATTCTGCCTCTCAGTGAAAGCACAGACCTTCATTAAGTTCTAGTCAAGTCCATTCCGAGCCAGAAAACTATGCATCAGGATAAAACAGTTCTCCTGCTCGGCACATCCTCTGCCCTCTCAGTACATAAACGCATCTCTGTGCAACCCACAAAAAAACCAAAACAAAAAACGAGAAAAATTTGCTTCCCGTGGATCTTTAGCACTGTTAAGTGAACTAATTATCTATACTGTACAATACTACAACGCCTTTACCAGTACGTATTAATGAATCCTCTAATCAAAATAGAGCTGTCGGACTGTTCGAGTCTTACTCGCTTGAGAGACAAAAGGAGGACAATGACATACTGACAAGAACCAAGTTCGGATGCTGCGCAGCTGTAACACATATTGCAGTGTACCACCACGAGCAGTTTTTGTGGCACAGAAAGGCACGTATGGCTCCAGCGGTCTAACGCACACTACTTTGAATTCTAAATTCCAAAGATTTTCAGTGTTTCTATTTCAGGGTGATTTTAGATTGGACTTACCCAAGGGAGTGACTTTTATTTCAGGCATTTTAACGAACTCTAAATCTCAAACTGCATGGTAAATTATTTCACAAACAGTCTAATGGAGACCACAAAAAGCAGAGAAGATTTAGCCGTTTTTACAGCCGCCATTTCAACGATTTGTCGGCATCAGGCAGAAGACTTAAGCAGAGGCCCAACTCCTTCCTAGAGGGAAGACAGTCAGAAAACACAACTCGGATCAACACGTGGATGATTAACAACTCCTGGGAGCTCAGGCCCGCTCGGCTTCGACAATCATCACCACCGCTAGGCACCAGGGAGCACGGACCGCGCTGCGGGCGTCCCGCCGATGGGAAGGCAGGGGAAGGGCTCCTGCT